AACGAAATTATTAAATGGACATTTTACTTACTTGATAATACTGTTACAACTTTTGAATTTTTATTTATTTTTGCAGTAATTTTTTTCTTTTGTTTGGAGTCTACCGTAATTTAGGAACTTTTAACTGACAAATATAACGGGCAATTGGGAAAATTCAAAGGATAAGCATCCCGTGTTAGTTGCCATTTTCCACGGGGAATCTCAACTCTTTTACCCTCAATTATATAAACATAATTCTTAATTAATCAGAAATCTTCAAAGAAGAAAGAAATTTATTTTGAAACAAACAATAATATATGTACTAAAAAAGGGCGATAGTCGGAAAAGTTTGGTAAACACTGGTTTTTAAAGTGAGTAAAGTGGCTAGTGAAATTTCGAGTCGAAGTTTCCTAATTATTGAGGAAGGAAAGCTACTGCGGTGTTTTTTTTTTTTTTTTAATTATTACACATTTCACAATTTTCGTTTAACTGTAATAAATCGCATCTTTATTATATAATTAAGAAATCGAAACCTGAAAACTGCTCTTTTTCAAATGAACAATGAAATAAGCCAGTAAATAATTGTACTGTACGTCACTCCTTACATCCAGAGACACTTGTAAATTGAGGCACGTGCTCCCTATTTTTGTCTGGTTTGCCCTTCTTTATCTAATCCCCAACGAGAACCAAATTTCATTATCAACAAACAACAGAAAATTAATGAATTCTAGCTAGTTTATTCTGCAAATATAAAAGAAACTAATGAACTAATCCATGCAACTATTTTAATGCAGTTATTTGCTCGTCGTATGTTGACCTATGCCACATTCATTGTTTTCAAGGCAAGTTAGCTTCGAGTGTAACCAATGCCATCTTGTAGGAGCGGTGATCCGACGTTGAAACATAGAATTTGAAGCTTCCTGCTTAATATGGCAAGGTTTACTATATTTCTAAACCTTTATCTGGTTTCCTTTGTTTGAAAACTACCTAAGTAATGTTTAACTATTTTATGTAATTAACGTTGAATGAGAGGCTGCCAGATATGAAGTTTACCTCAGGCACCAAAACTATTTGCAACGGCCCTGATAATCTAACAAGATAACGTAAAGAATAGCTTTTAAAATTTTATGATGGTGTCTCAGAAGTGTATAATATGCTTAAGAAAGTCATTAACGATAAGAAATATAAACAATGTGCACAGTGTAATAATTACAAGAAGTTAATAAAAACATTTCTACGGCAGTGACATCCTTGTTTCTACAATACTAAGTCGATTCAAAGAAGAAAACAGTAGAAAATTACCATCTGCAGCTAACTCGTTGTTTGCAAAAGTGGCGGAAAAATGTACAACACAATATTTGTCATTTATGTTTATAGGAGACACCGGTAGAAAAAACATGTTCACACTGAATAGTGAATACTGTTGGAACTTTGATGTAGCACATATTTTATACAGCGCTGTTACCATTTCAAAACTTCTTCTAATATACTACGAGGTAATAAGACAAAACAAGAACAAGACAAAGAACAACAAAATATTTTTATTCGGTTTAACTGGCGATCAGGGACAAAACAAAAATGAAAGTTGGTTTCATTCTGTGACTGTTCATTAGACCTATTAATAACTACGTCTAGTGAAATACATGTACGGTACAAGTCACACTTAAATTCGAAATTATCACTGAATTTACTGTAATTCAAGACGTTTCTTCTGTTTTATAATCGCCAAATAGATTAATATTGAAACACAATAAATTTTATTAAGGGTCGGATTTGTATCTAACACGTACATTAATTAACATAATTCATTCTAAAGTAAGATATGTCGAATTGACGCGTTCTATTGTCATTTCGTGTACAATTAAATTATGTTAACTTGAGGGCATCCATGTAGTTAATGCCTTAAATTTATAGCAAGTATTGAAGTAACGAGTAAGTTTCAAATTATACATAAAATTTATTTGAATTATGTTATGGAAGATGGGTTGTACAATTAGGTGGATTTACATAGGGACTAATAGGGCTTAAGCCCTGGGCCCCCAAGTGTCAAGGGCCCACAAAAATTGAATTATTTTCATAAATTTTTAATACTTTTCATTAACAATGTAGTAAAAAATAGTTAATATTAATAATATAATAATGATGATAATTTATAGTATTATTTGTTTTATTGTGATCAATTGATTTCTTAATCTAAAAAAACATTGGGCCCCATTGGATTTCAATTAGCCCTAGGCTCCGAGAAACCTAGATCAGCCCCTATAATTAATTAAAAGTCAATCCCCATTCACTATTGCACTTTGAACGTGAATTTACGGCAAAATAAGTTGATTTGAAACTTTTAATATTCTTTTCCGATTGTATATATTTTGAATATATGTGTGTAAACCTATAAATCTCAGGTAGAGATATCTTTCTGAATAAAAACTACAGTAGAACCTCGTTATCGTACCCTGAATACTGAGAGTTCGGTCGTGGGTTCGCGCCTCGCTCGGACGGGTTAGCCACGTAGAGTTTTCGGGTTTTCTCCACGTCTGTAACGCCTAAATATGGGGCCAATTTCCCTTAAAAAGACCTCCCGGAAGACATCCCCCTAAGCAGATCGTCCAACTGTTGCGTTGCCATAACTTAACAAACAAATAAACAGAACCTCACTTTGTGATCACTTCTGAAATTTCCATGTAAAACTGCATTCGTTTTAATATAAATCAAACTTCTTCTTGGTGACTTCACTCAACTGGCCAAAATACGAGTGTTCTAAAGTAATATTTATCCCCGTTTACATCATGGCCAACAGGAAAATCCAAAGTTCTAAACTCAACACATTGTTTAAAGCAATTTAAATGGAATTGAGCTTCGTTGCAATAATTTTGAAACAGTATGACACATCACTTGCAACACTCAAGGAAGAAAATAAGGCTGATGTAAAAGCCAGTTTAATTATTAACACTTGGACATTTGTGCATATCTAGTTACTTCTATCTACTAATTTTTTTTCTGAATTTTTCTGTTAAAATCCGGTATTTAATTTCATAATTAGCATTGAATTTAATTTTTCTAGCAAATATTTGAATATTGCTAGTAGGATTTTTTTAAATAAATATTTTTTTATTTAAAAATTGGATTTTCATGCCACGTTTAAGTTTCTATTTAAAATCAGTCATGCTTAATATTCATAGTCTGACATTTACTTCTAGCTGTTCCAGATTCATATACGAAGGTTATGGTTCTTCAGCATGGCTTGAAGCATTTTCTCTGTTTTTCACATAAACTGGCAGACCAATTGCGAATCTGGCCATTGTTTAAAAATCATAATTCACAAAATAAATAATAAAAAATGAATTTAGATATGTAAAATAATTTTTTACTCTTGGTCGAATAGTGAATAACGGGAAACATTGTATAATAAACTTTGAATAAGGCCAAGTTTACAATTACAAAACAGTATTGTGTAATTAAAAATATTTTTAATAAATAATTATGCAAAAGCTCAATGTTGATATATCGAGAGAGAGAAAGAGAGAGAGACCCTTATAAATCTCCCTTAGAATAGTGCTTCCTTATGCGGACTGTTGCTCAAAAAATGACTCCAAGATGCTCATTTAAACGGACTGTTCTATTACTCGATGCTCTGTAACGAGAGTTCTACAGTAGACCCCCCTATAACACTGTAGATAATTCCGTGTTATATGAATTCCATGTTGAACGAGTCACTTAGATTTTACAAATACGTGAGCCGTTCACAGCCGGTTCAACATGGAATTCATATAACACGGAATTATCTAGTGTTATAGAGGGTCTACAGTACTAATGTAAAACGTAGACTTAAAAGAAGGTTATAATTAACGCTTATTCAAATTATCGCTGCATTTCAATGATTCGTATATAATAAGATTATTCCCCCGAACACGAACCAATCAGCAAAAGGTGGCAATTCGTCGTAGCGCTGTAGGCCTACTTCCCCTAAATCTATGTTTGTTTGATGCAATTTTGATGCCACAGATAATTTCGACTTCGCTTGACAAGAATTAACTGATGAATACATAAATGGTGTGTGAAAGAAGATATGGCAGAAGGTATCCAAGAATTCTCAACGAGAAGAGCCTATCGTTGACCAAATTGTCAACCTAATCGATACAACAGGACGAGGAGATGTAGACGAGCAGAATATTGAGGAGTTACTGCGTGTTTCTGGTGAGATCTTTACCAACCACGACCTTCAAGAACTAGCAGAGCGATTTCCTGCTACCGACATTTATTTAACGAAAGAAAAAGAAAGCGACAAATAACACTAGACGCGTTAATCGCAAAAGAAATCAAAATTTCAAAAAATCCAGAACCTTTATCACGAGAATGAACTTTATATTTCTGTGTGCATATGTTTATGTGTTATGTAACATATATTATAATGCAAATTAGTATAAAAATAACTTAAAACTAAAGTAAAATCTGTTTCCTTTTGGTCGCGTGTTTTCCCTTTCCCTATTTACTCTGTGTTAAAATGACCTGTTTGCATTTGTTTACTAATTTATTTATTTAATAAGTAAATTAGTAAATATACAGAAAGTTTATGTCATAATTGGGAAATGTAATGAGTATTTAGTCTATTATTATAGTACTATGCCTATAATTTAGTTTATTAACATTTGTAAACAACGATTATCCATTTTTCAAAGACACTCGAATTTGTCGAAAGACACATACTAAATGACAACAAATGACTGATGTTAAAGTATTTATGACCAACTTTTCTAATGAATAAAGAAGATTAAAATTTTCCCATTTATACTAATTATGACTGATGATTAGTATATATAATTTTACTTTATTATTTAATATTAATCGGATTAATTTATGATTAAAGTTATTTTTCAAAATATAAATGATATTTTTTTTTATATTATAAATCATATTTAGAATGAATTGTTTAAAATTAATAGAAAAAATTAATTATTTGTTTTAGCAAAGCATTTTTATTTTGCTGTGTAATTGCACTAATTTGATAAACATGTTTTGTCTTTTAGTAACTATATAAACATTGAGGCTATTCATTACATTTGCAGTTATCAGATATTCTTACAAGTTAGATTATCTACCGCCCAATTTGGATAATGATTTCAAAGATCGTATTTCTGCTTTTTTTGGTTTCTCTGCCTCTTGTTCTCTGCGGTATTACGAATTATGTTTAATTAATTAACATATTAATTATTCTTTGTTTATCTTTTAAGTAAACTTTTATATTTATTTTACTTTACAGATAACAAATGCAATGATGCATCCGGTATTTCAGGAGTAAGCTTAAAATTTCAATTATATTTATATTTTATAATCAATTTTATTAAATTATTTTACTAAAATATTATTTTCTTTCTATAGGGAGAATGGGCACTTTTCGCTTCACTTATCTTTGTGAGTTATACCTTTTTTTTAAATATATAAAAGTTAATAATTATAATTAATTATTAAAATATTATATAATTTAAAACATATATTTTTTTAATAGGTTTTAAACCAATTACGTCTGCACGCTGGATGGAATCATTGAAATAAGTTTAAATAATGCATGAATTGTAAATGATTTTTCCTTTAATCCATGAATAAATAATATTAAATATATATACATTTTTGAGTTCTGTTTGTTTTGTATAATAAAACTTAATTCGAAGATAAATTAAAAACTAATCATTATGATAAAATAACATTGTAATTACATTTTAAATGCCAATATAAACGCAATACTAGTAATAATTAGAGCTATTGCAATAATTTGTTTAGGTTACTGAATAGCTCGGGGTGTTAAAGTAACGTTTATTACCAAGAGTTTTGTTGATATTGTCAAATAATTCGTCATTTCTCTAGAGCTTAATAAATATTACGAATCTGATAATAAAATATTAATACCTAACATCAAATTAAACTAAAACGTTCTTTATCTGTCACTCGGTCTGTTGGTCTGGAAATGGTACTGAAACTGGTAGTTACCATTGTTCAATACTACTAGAACAACTCATCATACTTTATACAGTATTCAGTATCCGCTCGGTCACTGGTGATCCATTTAATTGGATTTATCAGACTTCATTAATGATCTTTATCGCAAGAACAAGGATTAGCCTCAATAGAAAACAATATTACTATTGGTTTTCTTTTATATAAAGGTTAAATAAAAATACAGTAAAAACTCGAAGTTTAAGAGAGAAAAAAAATTCCGACTTCGAGTTAAAAAGTTTCGAGGAATTGGAGTTAACTAGTTTGATTTAACGTTATTCTAGACGTTTGGAGATAGAAAATGCGAGTTATCCAGGTTCCATTTTATATAAATATAAGCTATAAAGCTGCATTGGCCTATTGGCTCGCTGATACGAAATGCTTTTCTGTAAGACATTGCTTCTATTCAGAAGAAAACCTCATATAGAAGTATGTTTATGAGCATAACAAAATGGAAAAAAATGAAATGAGGGTTGAGTACGTTACTAGAAAAATCTCAAATCTCGAAAAAGTAAAATATTTTATCAGTTACGTGCTGTCAATTCTAACCAGATTAAAAAGTAAAACTTGGCTTTAAAATATTTAATAAAGCTATTATTATATATAATTATTAAAGCAGTATAGAAAACTTTAATAATAATATTTTGGTATTACTTTTAGATATAATGCTTTCTTGTTTCGATTATGTTCTGTTAGTAAAACCAAGTATATAATCGAAACAGGAAACATTTAATGGGTATAAATAGTAGATTGTAAACGAAGGATTTAGTTGTTAAAATATGCTCAATAAATAAAATGTCTTGTTTATTGTCATTTCACAATAAACAGAATCATATTATGGATTGCTGTCATTAAAACTTAACAAACGAACCATTTCTGGAGTTTTCTATTATTTAATTTTCTATAGATTAATATGGTAAGTACAGTAATGTAAGCCCATTCAATAATAAATCTATTATATTTAGTATTGATAACTGTATTTTTTTTTTTATTTTACAGAAACAAAGCCAAAATTTGTAATATTTTCATCATTAATATTTCAATAGTAAGCTTAATATTTTAAGAAAAATAACATAAAATACATGTGTAGATACGCTTCTATGATATCGATTCGTTTAAAATAAGAGGGTCGTCAATGGTTATATTATATATTAATCTTAATTATTTAATATTTGCTAAACTATTAATGTAAGACATTTTAAAAATAGATACTGAATTAATTTACTATTTAATAATTAAAATACGTATATTTGTATTAAATTTTCTTTTTCTTTGTTAAGATTGCTTTTATTAACTTTTTAATTATTTAACTAGATATATTAAAATATTTATATGAAAAATATATTAAATGTACACACAGAATTAAATATTTTATATCTTAACAATATTTTTAATTGTATAAAACTAAATTCACAATGTTCTTTTAGATAGACGAAATCTTTATTTAAAAATTTCAATGTGAATTAAACATGGAAGAGTTGAAGATTTAATTAAAATTCGAAGATTAAATTTGTAATTAATACAGAAATATTTTCATTGTTGTTTCTATTTATCTATAGAAAAATAAATAATTGAAAAAACAGCATAAACTTCTTATCATATCTTAACTATATCTTAACACCAGTGATTACATCGGTAATAACTTAAATAGTCATTATATTATAAAATATAATATAATAATACTACGGTTTACTAGTATTATAATTGGCAGATTAATTTACACTTATAACTTACAATTTCTACGGATTTTTTCCAGTATACACGTTAAAATTACTTTACATATTCCTAAGGGTACACACTGATAAACGTGGGGAACGTGTGTACCCATTCAAGTTTATGAATCATTAATCACCGGTTTTACATTAGATTAGACAATAAAGAAAATATTTTGCATTATATTAAAAATAGTCATCTTGTATATTCAAATGTGTTATATAAGAAGTAAATAAAGAAATAAAAATAGACATTTTCTTATTTTTAAGGAACAATTTTTGTATGTGTATGTGTATTAGATTTGCTTTGCTACTTTATAGTTTTGAAATTTTTTTTCACGCTTTCAATAGTTTAAAAGAGATTGTTGACTTCGTAAACTAAGTTAAGTCCATGGGGATGGTCATTATTGGATTCGACATCATCGATTTAATATGCATATAGACACATTCCATTCCTGATTTTGCATTTCTCTAAAAGTTATTAGACTTGAAAAGGATTTACGGGACATACCCTATAGAATACAACTGAGTTATTACGATGTATTTCAAAATAGTTTTAGTTTTTTTTTTCTTTTTCTTTTTATAAACTTCAAAGCTGTTATCATAGACAACATAAACTTATTTTCATTCATAAATTCTGACAGGAACGAATATAACTTTTTAAAGTTTAGAAATTACAATAAAAAAAAAGCTAAACAATTAAAACTTTTAAATATATATTATAGAAAATATATGAAAGAGATATAAAGTAAAATTTCGACAAAAATTTTATAAAAATTAAATTAAAATTAGGCAGGAAAATTAATTTTAAAGAATATAATAGACAGTTCTGATAATAGATATCAATACATTGTTAAATATAAAGAACTTATAACTTAGTTTTAACTATTTTTACTTATAACAGAGTGAATTTCCTCTATAATAAAACACGATCATATAGAACATTATTAAAGATCAAATCCGGAGGAAGATTTATGAGATTTTCTCTTATAGCAGCTATTAATATCAAGCAAAACCCGGATATTTTTATTTTATTTTTTATATTTTTAATAATATCAAAATGAAAAAGTAGCGTTAAAGTATATTTAGCTATGGTATCGATTAGAAAGTAAGTTAAAGAACGTCAGGTATTTTGTAAACTTTTTTAAAGGATGAGTTTAAACAAAATTAATATTTAATTTAAAATATTTGAATCTAACTTTTATAAATCTAAATATTTAAATTTAATTACAAGAATGTCAAGATTTTAACTTAACTAACATTGATTAAATTAATGTTATTACATTATATAAAAACCAATCTAGATGTATTGTTTTATACATCATTTTATTGATGTTTTTCTTGTGTTATTTGTGGAATACATGCAACAATGTAATTTATGAAATAAATGCAAGAAAAAGAAATAAATAAAGTAACTACAGCGTAATTTTTATGTCAAAAAATAAATACGCAGTGCTTATACATTTCTTCCTTTTTTATAATATATACCTATAGAAACACTCATTTATTTTCTAACACAGAATTGAATAATAAAAAATTAAATTAATTTTTTAAAGTCATTTTATGTTATTAATGATAAATTTTAAATGAATAATACATTAAATTAAATAATTTTATAAGTTTTATATTTTTTCCATCAGATGGCGCCAAAATAATAGATAACACTGGGATGCACGTGTTCAGATACATCAAAATATAATTTTTTTACCACCATTAAAGCATGTAAATGTTCTTAAATCTGATTTTAAAAGAAAGATATTTTTGTTGGCTTCATACTAATTAAACTTTAAAATTTAATGAACTTTACAGAATTTTCTAAATATAAAATAATTTGTAATACGTTGAAAATTAATCATTAAAACGTTTTAGAATACAAGGAAAAAAAGTCTGAAGACTGGAAAAAATATGATAAGAACAGTTCTTGAAATAGATAGAGAGAGAACTTGATAAATTTGGAAAGTAATCTGCTAAATGAAGATAAGGAAATTTTTCTAGATAGAAGGCAACAAAGCGAAAATACTTTAGTTAAAAACAACAAATTTCTTACATTAATTCGTGAATTTCTTTTTACTTATTATTCCACACGCAAGAAAATTTATTACACTGCCAAAATAAATAAAGATCACGTTATAAGTTACAATAAGTAAAATAAAAATTGTAATTTAAATATTAATATAACATAAACATAATATATTATTAATATAAAATAAACCGACGTGAATGGTTTAAATTATAAAAACTCGAGGTTTTTTATGAGTTTTTTTTTCAACATTTCAAATTAAAATTAGAAGAAAAAAAAAAGTGAATATTTGTAAAAATATAGGTTATTTGAAACAGAAAATTATTATTTTATAGATTTGTATATTTATTATAATATAACGTAAAAAACTCAATAACTTTTCATCATACTGTACAACATATAAGCATATTAATATATGATATATTTAAGAAAAAAGCATAGGGTATATAGAGGTATAGTGGAGAATATATGGCGTATACTGTCCCCTTAATTTAAACTTTGTAAACGTTTCTTAATATTTTTGAATATTTAATGACAAGTGATAAATAATTAATTTTAATAATTACTTTAATATAAACTCAACTTATATACTTGTGCATGTCGTTCCTTACATTATTATCAGTGAGGGATTTCCCATTAGACTCACTAGGCCTAGAATCGGAAGAATTTAGAGCGCAAAAATTCAAAATAATAATAATAATAACAATACTGAAGGAATTAATGCAAATTAAAATCTTACGTAGGGACAAAATAAGATAATTAGTTAAATAGTATTAATAAATGAATATACAATAGTTGATAGCAGGGCCTTGGCTAGAACATTTGACACAGGGCAAATTTAAATATGGTGTCTTTTGTATGAGCCTTTCATTAGTCTTTTGTGATTTAAAAATCTGTAATAAACACTTTTTATTTTTTAAAAAAATGCATATTATATTTAATAATAGGCCTATAACTTTTCATACTCGTACGTGACAGTTTTCAATGAATTTATTACTTCGCTCATATAACAATTTTCTAATTTTGGGACCTTATCATCTTGGCGCTCTGGGCACGTACCCCCTCTGCTCCTGCCCTTTTACGGTCTTGGTCGGTAATAGATTAATAAAGACGGATTTTCAATAGAGTAGTCTTTGCCCCTTCGATATTATTGCAGAATTAAAAGATTATTCAGTACAAAAGTGTTACTATTAGTTTCGGGATGTCTGCATATTGTGGCCTAGGGGCGCCATATTTTTAATATTAGAAGAAATCTTTTCTAAAACTACATTAAAAAAGAAACAATCAAATAATTATAAAAATTATCAGAGAAAAATAATGGATTTAGGAATATTTTTTTGAATCATTCCATCTCATTCTTTTTCGATTTTGAGAATGATAAAATATAGTCTTTGGCCAATTTTTCTTCTTGAATGGCAATGCATATCGGAAATTTTTGTTTTGTATGATGAAGAATGATATTTCAGTTGCCAAGAATATCCCTAGAGGTAAAATTTCCATAAATTGTAATATTTACAATATCTTTGTTATTAAAAACCTTTTTTTTTTTTACTTTATATAGATCACTATTGATGTTATTTCTAGAAATTTCAAAAATTATTTATGAGAAATATAAGTAACTATGACATGCGAATAATCTATTAATGTAATGCACAGTACCGATAACATCAAAAAACTATGTAAAAATATAGCGCAATAAAATATTTACAAAAATAAACAAATTTGTGATCATTGGGGAACATTAAACATAAATAATTTACCAGATCAAATAATACATTAATAAATTTTAAAAATTNATTAACGCAATATAAAAAAAAGATTAATGAGGATAATTATAATTTATAAATGCACTACGTCGATTCTATCATTATCAATAGACAAATTAAATCAATTATTTTCAGCTCTCATCAATACTTTTAAATGTTTTCTAAGGATTGAGTTGATAGATTTAACAGTATCAATTGTGATTAATCGAATAAATTATTACACGTTGTAATTTAATAATGTTAAAGTAAAAAGGAACGAAAATATTAATATATAATTAATGAAGGTACAAATTACAACTGAAATGTTTAAATTTATTAAGAGTTTAAAATTCTATTAATTAGTCTTGTTTTAATTAATAAGGAAGAATCGAATAACAATTGTTCTTATGTTAAAAACTTTGTAAATATATTATTTTTAAATCATTTGCAACGTTTGATTAATTTTTTATTCTTGACATTCTTGACATTTACATGATTATTTCGGATGTGATTTCTTTCTGTATGCTTATACTACTTGAGTGACGTTCCTATTTTTCGATTGAACATGATAAAAATTTAAAGAAGTGATTTAAAGAAAGCCTTTAAAAGTATTCTGATTCTAAAGAAATCCTATTGAATATCTTAGTAAAAGAATGTTTAAGGCGTATTTATATTAATTTTAAAGCATTATTTTTAACTTTTTTTTATAGGTTATAATGTATTTTTTACTGGCATAATAAATAAAGAAAACGTACTTTTAGTTTTACTTTTTAACTTTATAAACAAATAAGAATAAATAAACGTTTTTTTTTTTTAAGGTTAATACATAAAAATTTATGAATAAATAATAAAATAATTTGTAAAACTTTCTACGCTTTCGATCAATAATCACCATTTTAATCTATTAAAATTAATGTTGATCTTGGTTTCGTACGGATTTTCTAGTCATTAAGCACACGAACATTTTCGGTGCATATCTTTCAGTAAAATAATTTCATTTTCTCTAAGGTAAAGTAATAATAAACATTTACAATTTCTGTAAAGAAAAGTAACTCGCTTAACAAACA